CCATGTGTCGTCCAAGTAGCGGAACCAGTGGCTGGGAGCGGTGCCAGTGAAGGAAGCGCGGGCTTTCTCCTCAATATCTTCCATGTACAGGTTGGCAACTATAGGAGACACTGGGGAGCCCATAGCACAGCCGTGTTGTTGCCTACAGAAGTGCCCCCTAAACTGGAAGTAGGTAGTGTTTAAACAGAGTTCCAGCAGAGTGCATACATGGTCTTGGGTGAGGCTAGTCCTGTTGTTTAGCGTGTCATCCTTCAGCAGTCTCTTCCTCACCGCCCTGACAGCCTCTGTGGTGGGGATGCAAGTGATTAAGGATGTGACTTCCCGTGCTGCAGTTGTTGGACTTTCCTTGCGAAGTCCTGGGAGTTTATTATGTGGTGCTGTGTGTTTCCCACCTGCTTTTTGCAGACGATGTTGTCCTGTTGGCCCCATCAAACCAGGACCTCCAGCATGCACTGGGGCGGTTTGCAGCCGAGTGTGAAGCGGCTGGGATGAGAATCAGCACCTCCAAATCCGAGGCCATGGTTCTCAGTCGGAACAGGGTGGCTTGTTCCCTTCAGGTTGGTGGAGAGTTCCTGCCTCAAGTGGAGGAGTTCAAGTATCTTGGGGTCTTGTTCACGAGTGAGGGAAGGATGGAACGGGAGATTGACAGGCAGATCGGTGCAGCTTCTGCAGTAATGCGGTCGATGTACCGGTCCGTCGTGGTGAAGAAGGAGCTGAGCTGTAAGGCGAAACTTTTGATTTACTGGTCAATTTGCGTTCTGACTCTCACCTATGGTCATGAGCTTTGGGTCATGACCGAAAAGGCAAGATCCCGGATACAGGCGGCCGAAATGAGCTTCCTCTGCAGGGTGGCCGTGCGCACCCTTAGAGATAGGGTGAGGAGCTCAGTCACCCGGGAGGAGCTCAGAGTAGAACCGCTGCTCCTCCATATCGAGAGGAGCCAGCTGAGGTGGCTCGGGCATCTGTTTCGGATGCCTCCCGGGCGCCTTCCTAGGGAGGTGTTCCGGGCATGTCCCACCGGGAGGAGGCCCCGGGGGCCTCTTTAATTATCTTGATTATCTTTGCTTAGACTGCTGCCCCCGCAACCCGGTTCCGGATAAGCGGAGGAAAACGGATGGATGGATGGAGAAACTTGAAAATTCTATTTCAGTACAAAGTATTTGTCCTGTTACTTCCCACCTCTGAACCTGAGCCAAGAAAACCAGATCCAGAGGAGATCTAAACCAGATTTGTCTTACAAGATCCAAGCAAGATTTTGGCAGTGTAAACCAATTCATTCTGTCAGGACCAGGATTAAACCAGTTCAGATTCTCCTAAATGGGCTCAAACCACATCCCAACTAGACCGGACTTGTCAGGTCCGCTTGGTGCGACCTGCCTCTTCCGCCTTTCTCTCCTCTGCTCTCTCGATCCTGCGGGATCTGCACCTCAGCTGTGTTGCTTTCAGTAATTAGCGACTCGTTTGTCGGTGCGCACAGCTGGGGTGCATCCCGATGATTACCTTCTTCCTTATTTATACCTCTGGCATATGCTCCGTCATCGCCGGAGCATTAACTAACTTGCATTACCTAACATAATTGCATACCCCGTAACAGCCTGATATTCGTGGTATGTATTGTGCGACATTTTGCTTTTCACGCTGACAGTGCCTGTACTGTGGATCGCATTTTGTACATTGGTTATGTGTTTTGTGTTATATGTCTCTGGACATTCCACGCTAACAGTTCCTGTGCTGTGGATTTTTCTTTTCGTTCGCCACTCCTCCTGGTTAGTTGTCTATTCACCTGTCCGTCCTGATCCTCCCACTTTCCTGTTTTCTGCCGTTAGCTTGTCTACTCCCCTGGTCATCCTGGTTTCCTCCACCATCTCTGCCCTACTTTGCTGGTTTCTGTACATGGACTATGATACGTTGTTTTGTTGTTACTGTGCATTTCCCACCATTAAACCACCTTTTTACTAGCACCTGGGTCGGCCATCTTGAGTCCTATCTCAGTTCTCCCTCACCCTCCTAGTGAGTGGGACTAAACCATAACAGGACTGACCTCTGCAGGTGTTTTTCACAGAAGGAGTCAAGTCGCTGCATCTCAGACTGGAAAAAACTCTGAAAGAAACAGGGACAGAGTCAAACGTGGATCAGGCCAGAGATCGAAATCTGATCTCAGGGCACTCGACTTTTTCTCCTCTAAATCCTGTGACTATTTTTCAACATTTTTCTCTCTTTGAATATTTAGATTTTTCAGATTAGATTATGCATATTGATAGTTTGGATGATTAAAATTTATTTTCTTGGCATATTAAAAGATTTTCTAAAGCTACTCATCCTTGAAATATTTCAACTTCTCTCACAAACTAGTTCTCAGATTTTGTATCTTTTGTTCTGTAAATATTGCAAGTTTTAAAGAAATAATCAGACTTTTGTTCTTAAAACCTGAAGGAGTCTTGATCTAAACTAAAATGACAACTTTTCATTTAAATATTAAGAGTGATGGATGGATGGTTATTACATTAGAACTTTTTATCTCAAACTAAATCTTCTTCCGGTCACATCATGGCGTTACCGCAGTACGCGTCGTTACCAGGATCTGGGTGTTGATGGAGTTCAGGGCTGTGGAGTCTTCTTCCAGCTGGTTCAGTTGATCCATGATGCTGCTTTCAAACCTTTGCAGCAGCAACAATCTACAAAAACACAAAACACACTGATATAGTAACTGGTTTCTGAACGTGTCCCATTTCCACCTGATGATTAGCTAGTGTAAAATCTCATCCTCTGGAGAAATTCAGATATCTTTCCTTCACGTTTGACCATTTGACAGATGTTTGATTGGTGTAACATCTGACAGGGCGGTGCTACAAATGCTGTTACCTGATAGCCCCAATCTGTGATTTCAGCAGACTTCATGACTCCATGCCCCATTCTGTTTTTTCTATGTACAGTAGCTACTTCACAGTGACTTTGGACAGGTGTGTTGTGGTGGGCGGTGCCTCTGTTGATGAACAGGTATGTTTAGGGGCTGGTACCTGTGTTGATGGACAGCTGTGAGCAGTGATGAGATGTGTTGTTGACCCTCTTTCAGCGACAGCAGAACATGATTTTCAGTTTTGTGCCAGTAGCTCTGCAAAAAGTTTTGCCGGTTTGTCTTCATGGAATAAAAGTTACTGATCAGCCAGATAAGATCAATAATCAGTAATCAATAACCTTTTAATCATGTAATCACTCACAGTAAAATGTTGTTGTAATTGTTCTTTGAAGGTTTTGAAGGCAGCTGTGATGCCTGAGGTCTGGTCTGACTCCGAGTCCACCTCCGGTGTGTTCGCAAGCTCTGCCCTCTGGATGAGTGGTGCCATCACTTCACCGATTAACCCCTCGTCTTCTGGAGTAGGCTCCAACCCCTCAGGTGAATGCTCTGGGATCAGGTGAGCAGCAGATTTACAAAAACATTAAGTTCTTTCAAAACTAAAGACAAAAGAAGACAAATTACCTGTCTGCCCTGAGTTAGACCCCTCCCCCTCAAGCTGAGGATCCACCCTCCTCTTCTGGGCTGGCGTGCCCTCAATTTGGTGCGACAGGTAGCCTTCACAGTGAAAAACTATACAATTTATTAAATAAGACTGGCATCCTTTTAAAATGTGTCATGACAGTATCTTGTTTCCACAACAAACTGTTTCAAAGAGACAATTTCTGTTGGGAAAAAAAAGACAAATGTCAACTTTGTTAGCACACTGGCTGCAGATGGAAGCACACAATGTGATGAAGTAACGAACAGAAGCAAAGTCATCAAATTATCACGCTAGCCAAATGTTAGTATCACAGCTTAGAATCATTAAATAACCTATGTACGAATTAACCCACAAAGTACAAAAACGGCACCCAGTGTGGGCGATGACAAATTCCAGTTAAGAGTTGACGCTGAAACACTGCCATCTCGTATTTTGGCTGAGTCTAAACATGGAAATGAAAATGGCTCTGTGCTTTAGTTGTGGAGAATTTTTGACCATTGTGATAAATGACCTTCAAAGCTGTTAAGTAGTAGCCTCTTATATGCATCCATATTTTCCTTACTTGCATCTTTTCCCTGCCTCTTAGTCCCACCCATGTAAGATGCAAAAAAAATATGAGGAAAGCATGCGAGCAGAGAGAGGACACAGAGGAAAGGTTAAAACGAGATGTCCTTTCCTCTGATTTACCAACTGATTTCTGATAACAGGGTGTGTCTGTGTGCACACCTAGAAATATTTCCAAATGCCAGTCTAAGTCATGATGAGTGACAACTGATGCCCACAGCTTTACAGAATCTTTCCTCATATGATTTATTCACATTCCTCCAATCAATGCCTTTCTTAGGAAACTGAAGCTGGGCCTCCCTAAGCTGATCCAGGAGGAGGGCCTTTTAATCTTACAGCATCTTGTCTATTTGCAATGTCCCAGTCACAATGTGAACTTCCATAGTCACTACTCCTCCCCAGGACCTAACTCAAACTGCTGAACAAACCAAAGATGTTTGGAATAGAACCTATACTGCAGTCAAATAAGAAGAACCTACCTCAAATATTCACCTAAAGATCTTGTGTAGATGAGGGTCAGGGTTAGATAGTGAAAGAAATCAAAATTGTTGTGGAAGAAGACATGAACATGAAATGTCTCTGCCACAGACTTGTTTTATGGTGGAACAAGTCTGTGGCAGAGACATTTCAGGGTCAGGGTTAGATAGTGAAAGAAATCAAAATTGTTGTGGAAGAAGACATGAACATGAAATGTCTCTGCCACAGACTTGTTTTATGGTGGAACAAGTCTGTGGCAGAGACATTTCAGGGTCAGGGTTAGATAGTGAAAGAAATCAAAATTGTTGTGGAAGAAGACATGAACATGAAATGTCTCTGCCACAGACTTGTTTTATGGTGGAACAAGTCTGTGGCAGAGACATTTCAGGGTCAGGGTTAGATAGTGAAAGAAATCAAAATTGTTGTGGAAGAAGACATGAACATGAAATGTCTCTGCCACAGACTTGTTTTATGGTGGAACAGCTATAAATGGAAATTCTGCACAAGCTCAAACCTTTTCTCATAGCCTTTTCAGAGTATCTCCAAGTTGACCAGAACAGTGGAACTGACTGACACAAAGACAGCAAAAAATGACTACCAGCATGGGAAACCTGGAGGTAACGAGTCAACGACAACTGCAAACCCTCGTGGCAGAACCCTGCTTGTTCCAGGTGCCCAGTAGATCAGCAGTCCACAGCAGCATGTACAACCCCAGCAAGTATGAAAAGTGATCACAGCAAGGTCATCTATCCTGCTTATAGAGGACCTAATGATGATCCACACCTTCTAGCTAGGACCCCATTGTTGTGGCCATTTTGGTTTTATGGCCATGATGCTAATTTTACCTGTTTGTTATCTGTGTAGGCTCATAACTCAGAATTATGTCTTTATCTGTTAGAGCGAGACACTAGAATCTGATTTGTTTCAATGGAAGTGAATCATGAAGCCATTCAGAATTTAGAGAATTTTTATAAAGACCTGAATCTGAAGCAGCTCGCTTCCTGTCAGAGACGAGGACCTCCTGAAACACAAACAGGAAACGAGTGAAACACAGATGAGACACAGGTGGGAAGGGAAATGGGTGACGTTTTCATGGAGGAATCACCTGTTTCAAAGCAGAGCCAGATCCTTCAGACGTCTCTAACTCAGGAACACCTAATATGGGTTAAAATAAGGCATCACAGCTGGATCACAGCTGGATCCGGCATGTACTGTGAAATAAGCGTCTGACCTGATTTGGGGGTGGAGTGTAGGATCTGATCAAAGAGGAACTCTGCTCGGCTTTTCACTGGAGTCTGACAGCAATGTGTTCGTCACTCATACGTTTGTACTATATACTGTGTATTTGTACATGCAGCAACAGGGCATCTTTGTTCATGCAGACTTACCTCAGTCACGCTGTCTTCGTCCTCACTGCTCACTGACGACAGAGGCAGAACTAGACAGAAAAAAACGACATATGTCAACATTTTGTTTCTGTGGTTGTGTTTGTCTCTGTAGCGGTTGTGAGCCTCTTCTAGAGGCCTGTACCACAAAGCGAGTTCAACTTAGTCAGGCTTTTGGGGTTATCTGGCTTCACAGAGTCTAATGTTGGCCGTCCTGGGTAACCGGTACCACGAAGCCGGTTATTAACCAGCTCGGTTCGGTCTGGGTTTTCCTGTCAGTCTATGATGCGCGTTCATATTACAGCGGCCAAATTGTTACACTGTTTCCGGTACAGAACCGAGGCAGCCATCTGCGGCACCAACTCAACCATCGGGGGCAACGGGGGGTTCAGTGTCTTTCCCAAGGACACTTCAACATGTGGACTGCAGGCACCGAGATTCGAACCCTCAACCTTCCGGTTGGGAGACTACTGCACTGCCACCTCCCCCATTTAACAGTGTAGTATATGGATTAGACTCACTGTAACCTAGGCTGACTAAAAGGAACCAACACAGTTTACTGGACAAGCTACTGATCTGGCTTTGTGGTACAGGCTCCAGGTCCTCGTGACTTGTGTTGTTTAGTATGAAAGGTTGTAAACAGACTCACTCTTGAGCCGACTCTTGCTCTGTGGTTTCTTACGGCTGTAGGATCTACCGCTGTGTCTGTCTGCAGAGGAGGGGGCCTGGACTGGACAACCTGTGTCTTTAGCAGGGGGAGAGCTCTTTGCCTTCTGCTCAGACAGGACAGGAGAAACAGCACATTAAGAGTCGTAAAAAAAGTAAAGACTCAAAACTAAAGCAATCTCTGCCACACCACTCTACAGCTGGTCGTCAGATTTGTTCTGATCTTATTCTTCTGTGAAAACGTTTTTAGCTGGTGTTTAAATTACAGGAACAATGTTAAATCTCACTTTGGCCTGTGAGCGACAGCTCCAGAACAGCTGCTCGATAGACTGCTGTCAACAGCTGCTTGCAAATACTGACAGGTGTTCAGACAGACAGGTGAACAGACAGGTGAACAGACAGACAGGTACTGTGAAGACTTGAGCAGCAGCCTCCTCCAGCTCTCCCTGATGTTTGCGGCTGAAGCTCAGCTCTACTGTCTGACCTCTGGTGTTGCGGTGCATGATGGGATTCTTCAGTCGGACACTGAAGACCATCAGTGTACTGGTGCTCCCTGGCAAAACATCCTGACAATCAGACACCTATCCAAGTTTTAGTGTGACAAAGCAGAAAATACAGTTGTCTAGTTAAAAACCACTGACCGTCATCTTTCACCTGGAGACTGTATTGAGTCACCTCCTCTCTCAGCAGGTGGATCGAGTCCCACAGGAAACCCTGAAACATGCAACATCTAAAAACATGTGCCATGCCACAACTGTGGTGTTAGACTGACATACAGATACACCAAATGGCTCATGTGCTGTATTAGTCAATAGCACTGTGGAGTAGTATCATGAGAGAATGTCTTCCGGAGTAAAGTAATTCTACAGTGGAGGTGACAATGTGGCGAGATGGAGGAAAACAGTGGCTGACAAATTAATGTATCCCATTAAAATCCTTAATGTGGCCACGATTGCTCCAATATGGTAAATGGACTGTATTTATATAGCACATTTTTCACAGTGTGTTGCACTGGCCGAAGCGCTTTACAGGAGATTCACCCATTCACACACACATTCACACACCAATGACGACAAGGCTGCCACACAACGGCGCTAGTCAAGCCACCGAGAGCAATTCGGGGTTCAGTGTCTTGCTCAGGGACACTTAGGCATGCGGGGAGACCGGGAGTCGAACCACCAACTTGCTGGTCAGAAGATGACTCGTGAGCCATAGCCACCCCCAATATTGCGGCGTATGTGTGATCTGTGCATTATGTTCAGCTCGGTGAGAACCTGGGAAAGGGGAAAGTAAAGTACAGGAATATTCTGCAAACTGATGCCGCTGTCATGTGTCACTCTGAGCCCTGCTACAATTTTTATTACAGTTTGTCTCAGCTAAGGACTGAGTCCGGTTGTCCACAGTCTGAAACCAGACAAAGAGGAGCTGTGTTTCTGACTGCCACGTGGTGTGCACTGACCCGATGCTTCTCACAAGCTGCGGCTTCTTATATACGTTTGGTGATGTGGAAATGTTAGAAAAGAGTGCCGTTTGTCGAGCAGTTCTGAAAGTGTACGTGGCTCTGAAACAGTTCCTCAGTGTGTGTAGTCTGCTTTCTTCTTGTGTGCATTAAAAGCAAAGGGAATTCATTGATCTAAAGCTTGCTATAAGCCTGAGAACAAACCTGCTCCTGAATGGGTTAGAGATCGCTGACATGTTGCCATGACAAGTCCTACGAGACTATGAAAAGCGAAGAGCCAAGAGATCCAAACTGACCTGTTAATTCACATATGAAAGAACAGCCCCCGATCTATAGTGTTACCCAGCTCAGGCTAACATTACCTCTGGTGATCACACATAGTACTACTGCAATACTACTACATCCAGAGGCAGCTCAAATCAGTACATTACCTCAGGTTCATTGACAAAGAAGCTCACACATCCTGAGCCGAGATTAAAGTCAATCCAGAACTCATCCAGAGTGTCATCATCTGGTCGAAACAGCTGCAGAAGAACAAAAGATGAACATGTGTCTGATGTCTGCACAGGGGAAACAAAGAGTTAAATGTTTTACCTGAGTAGAGTCCAGAAAGGCCGTGAGACAAGGGAAGGTGTAGACCCTAATGGACAGAGACCAGGGAGAAAGTACGTCAGTGAAGAGTCTGAGCTAACCCATCAGAACTAGGGTCAGTAGTGTATCACCTCCTCTGGTCGCCATGGCAATGGTTAACAATGTTCAGGAAACGCCTGCAGTCCTGGAGAGAGAGAAACGGGTCAGAAAGAGAGTGAGAGACAGGTATTCAGACAGACAGGTGGGGCACTCACCCCCTCAAAGTTCCTGTCTTTGATGTCGCAGAAGGCGCTGCTGATGTCAGCACTGGGGAACCACTGATTGGCTTTTGGCTCTCGCTTTTTCTTAGGTGTCAGACGACACAGAGCTTCTGATAGGCTGACCTGCAGCTCATAGTCTGAAACAACAACAACGGCAACAGTCAACAACAAAAACAGTCAATGACAACAGAGACAGAAGACTAAACCCTACAGTTCAAAGGTTCAAAGTGTTTATTTTGTCATATGCAGAGTTAGGAAACGTGTTTCCCTGTACAATGAAATTCTTACTTTGCCGTCCACATGAATGCCACAAAATACAAATGAAATATAAAGTAGATAAATAAGTAACACAAAATCTAAGGCACTTTAAGCAGCAACAGATGCAGCGATATAATAAAAATATATAAGAATATTACAGAATGTATGCTGCATGGGAGCAGCAGAGTCATTGTGCAATTATACATGTAACACAAATAATTAACACAAAATCTAGGCACTTTAAGCAGCAACAAATGCAGCAATATAATAAAAGAATACAACAGAGAATGCATGCTGCATGGGAGCAGCATGTGCAGCAGTCAACAGTCATTGTGCAATTATGCATGTGCAAACTGACAATGTAAACAGTACATCATGTATTTCCTGGCAATAAAATAAGATTCAGATACAACCTCACCTCCAACTGTTGGAATCATTGCTGCCAGCTGGGATCTGTGGGCACACAGGTAGACAGACAGGTAGACAGCGCTGGGTTCAGAAATGCGGTGGCTGTACACAGTGGCGGTTTTTGGCATGGGGGAATTTGGGCAGCAGCCTGGGGCGGCATTTTTTCATGACACGTGAGGGGCGGCACAAGCACTTGGAAAGAAAACTAGAGAAATGCATTTCCTGTCGTAAATGCGTGTGGATGCTGATAAGCTGAAAGATCGTCCTGAAAATGTGTGAAATCAATTGCTGAAACAGCTGAAAGATGAGAAGAAATGGCTGAAGTTCTTTGTTGAATAATCTGAAGGATGAGATGCAATAAAGTAGGAATGGCCTTGAAGAGCTGAACATTTTGATAATTGAATGGCTTTTCTAGCTGAAAGTATGCTGAAGTACAATTTTCCCCATTCATTTGAATGTGGGGAAATTTTCAAAATAAAAAAATATTTCAGAAGTGTGAAGTGTATAAAAATTTTGAGATGAAAAATGAATGTCCTGAGAGACTTGAACATTTTGATACCTGAAAGTATGTTTAAGTAGAATTTCCCCCATTCATTTGAAAGGGGCAAACTTTTCAGAATAAAGTTAAATATTTTAAAAATGTGATGTTTTGAAAAATTGTTAATAGAAGCATGAATGTCCTTGAAAAGCTAAACATTTTGATACCCGAAATAGGTGAAGGTATGCTGAAGTAGAATTTTCCCATTCATCTGAATCAGGGAAAACTTTCAAAATAAAGCTAAATATTTCAAAGGTATGAGATTTAGAAAAATTCTGAAGAGAAGCATGAATGTCCTTGAGGAGCTGAACATTTTGATAGCTGAAAGTATGCGGAAGTAGAATTTTCCCTTTCATTTGAATGGGGCAAGATTGTCAAAATAAAGCTAAATATTTCAAAAGTAAGTTTAGAAATGACTGTCCTTGAAGAGCTGAACATTTTGATACCTGAATGGCTTTGCTAGCTGAAAGTATGCTGAACTTATCAAAGATGCAAGATGCAATTTTGGTCCTGAGAATGTTAATGGAGAAGTATAGAGATGGTCACATGGAGCTGCATTGTGTCTTTATGGAAAGCGTACGACAGGGTGCTGAGAGAGGAGCTATGGTACTGTATAAGGATGTGAGGAGTGGCAGTGAAGTACGTCAGAGTAGCTCAGGATATGTATGAGAGGAGTACAATGTCAGTCGTAGTAAGATAGAATACATGTGTATGAACAAACGAGAGGGAAGTGGAACAGTGAGATTAAAGGGGGCAGAGGTCAAGAAGGTGCAGGAGTTTAAGTATTTGGAGTCAACAATCCAGTGTGATGGGGAGTGTGGGAAAGAGGTGAAGAGGCGAGTGCAGATTGGAATGGGTGGAGAAAGGTGTCAGGAGCGTTGTGTGACAGAAGAGTGGCAGCAAGAATCAAAGGAAAGGTGTACAAGACAGTAGTGAGACCAGCTATGCTGTATGGGTTAGAGACTGTAGC